CTGTAATGGAAGTCTAAGCTAGAATAACAGGACAAGAAAAGGAAATAAAAGATATAAAGTTAGAATGGAAGAAAGGAGGCTGGGTGCAGTGGCTCACACAATGTAATCCCAGCACTTTGGGAGGCCAAGGGGGAGGGATGACTTGAGCTTAAGAGTTCGAAATCAGTCTAGGCAACATAGTGAGACCTCATCTCTATTAAAATAAAATAAAATAAAATAAAATAAAAATAAAAATAAAAATAAAATAATGGAAGAAATAAAACTGTATTTTTCATAGACAGCATGATTTATGTAGAAAAATCTCAAGACTTGGCCAAAAAAAAAAAAACCCTGGAATGAATAAGTGATTAAAGCAAGTTGCAGGATACAAAGTTAACAGGCAAAAATCAATTACTTGACAGGAATGAACAATTGAGCAATTGGAATTTGAAATTAAAAATATAATACCACTGGCCAGGTGTAGTGGCTCACACCTATAATCCTAGCCCCTTGGGAGGCCGAAGCTGGTGGATCATTTGAGGTCACGAGTTTGAGACCAGCCTGGCCAACTTGGTGAAATGCTGTCTCTACTAAAAATACAAAAATTAGCCAGGCATGGTGGTACATACCCATAATCCCAGCTACTTGGGAGGCTGAGACAGGAGAACTGCTTGAACCCGGGAGGCAGAGGTTGCAGTGAGCTGAGATGGTACCACTGCACTCCAGCCTGGGCAGCATGGCAAGACTCTGCCTCAAAAAAAAAAAAATGTCAATTTTCCCAACTTGATCTCTAGATTCAATGCAATCCCAATCAAAATCCCAGAAAGCTATTTTGCAGATATCAATAGATTATCAACTTTATATCGAAAGAAAAAACCCAGAGAGCTAACACTATACTGAAGAAAGGCAACAAAAATGAAGGACTAACACTACCTGACTTCCAGACTTACTACTAAAATACAGTAATCAAGACAGTGTGGTATGGGGGAAAGAAGAGAGAGATCAATGAAACTGAATAGGGCAGGGTGTGGTGGCGCACGCCTATAATCCCAACACTTTGGGAGAATGAGGCGGGTGAGATCACTTGAGCTCAGAAGTTCCAGACCAGCCTGGGCTACACGGCAAAACTCTATCTCTACAAAAATACAAAAATTTGCTGGGAGTGGTGGCACGAGCCTGTAGTACAAGCTACTTGGAAGGCTGAGATGGTAGGATTGCCTGGGCCCAGGAGGCAGAGGCTGCAGTGAGCCAAGATTGTGCCACTGCACTCCAGCCTGTATTTAAAAAAAAAAAAAAAGAAACTGAATAGAAAGCCAGAAATGGATCCATACAAATATATTCAACTGATCTTTGACAAAGAAGCAAAGGCAATTCAATGGAGAAAGGACAGTCTTTTCAACAAATGATACTGGAACAATTAGGTGTTCATATGCAAAAAAAAAAAATGCATATAGAATATAGACACAAACCTTACACTTTCCACAAAAATTAAAGTAAACTGCCTCATAGACCTAAACATCAATGGTAAAACTATAAACCTTCTAGACGATAACATAGGAGAAAATCTAGGTAGCCTTGGGTTTGGTGATGAGCTTTAGGATACAATGTTAAGAGCATGATCCATGAAAGAAAAATGTAGTAAGTTCAACTTTTTAAAATTAAGAACTTCTGCTCTACAAAAGACATTGTTAAGACAATGAAAAGACAAGACACAGACTGTGAGAAAATATTTGTGAGACATCTATCTGATAAAGGCTTGTATCCAGAATGTACAAGGGACTCTTAAAACATAACAATTTAAAAAATGAGCCCAGTTAAAAAATAGGCAATCTGAACAAACATCTCATCAAAGAGGACATACAATTCCCAGTACTTTGGGAGGCCGAGACAGGCAGATCATTTGAGCCCAGGAGTTCAAGACCAGCCTGGGCAACATGACAAAACCCTATCTCTACAAAAAATACAAAAATTAGCCAGGCATGGAGATGTGCACCTGTAGTCCTAGCTACTTGGGAGGCTGAAACAGGAGAATCACCTGAGCCTGGGAAGTGAGCTGTAATCACACCACTGCACTCCAGCCTGGACGACCAATAAACACACACAAAAACAAGACATGCGAATGGCAAGTAAGAACATGAAAAGATGTCCAACATTATGTCATTAGGGAACTGCTAATTAAAACAACAAATGAGATACCACTATATACTTACTAGAATGGCTAAAATCTGGGCCAGGTGTGGTGGCTCATGCATGTAATCTCAGTACTTTGGGAAGCTGAGGTGGGCAAATCACCTGAGGTCAGGAGTCCAAGACCAGCCTGGCCAACATGGTGAGATTCCGTCTCTACTGAAAATATAAAAATTAGCCAGGCATGGTGGCAGGCACCTGTAAGCCCAGCTACCTGGGAGGCTAAGGCAGGAGAATCACTTAAACCTGGGAGGTAGAGGTTGCAGTGATCCAAGGTCACACCACTGCACTCCAGTCTGGGCAACAGAGCGAGACTCTGTCTCAAAATAAATCTCCAAAAAAAAAGAAAAAAAAAGGAATTGCCAAGAAGCACTGTACTCTAGTAGATAAAGTTGTTTCTTACAGGAGTACAGGTTAACAATTAAACAAATAAACAGAGTATGGTGGGTACAAGTTTCTCACTGTTGGAGTGGGAGTTTACAGATAAGCAAGAGAAGGATCTATGTGGTAATGGATTAAAGTTGGAGACATCAGTGAGAACAAATGTTTAATATAGGTACAGATGGTTACACATAGAAATATTTATAGATATGTACATATGCAGAGGTTAGTACACATACATATATTTCTTTGCTCTGTTGGCTGAGAGGATCTAGAATCCAATGATACCTCAGTAGCAAAAAGTACACTTAGTGTACTTGGTCTTGGTTTCTAATATCATTTTCCAATAAAAGGAACCAAAGTTTCTTGGAGTATTGGTTGGTTCTAGGACTAGAACCAGGAAATATACAAGAGAGGAAATATACAATATGAGTCTGGAGCATCTTATAGTGCCAAAAAGTAAAAAGTGCTTAAAATCAAACAAAATCCTTGATATGGATTTTCCAAAAATTAAATAAAACAAAAAATAAAATAATAAAATAAAACAAAATCTTACAATGATTGGGGTATGTCAATGTGACACAAGAGCCAAGCGAATGAGCTCCCAGTGGCCAAAGCTGGAACAATTTGAGAAAAAATAAAGTAGTACTGCATTATAACACAAAGTATAAAATAAATATCCTTGAGTCCTTATTGATATCAATGATTGAATAAATTCATAAATAGGAGAAAAGAGATAAATCTCCCATGCAGAAGAATTCTTTAAAAAATTATGTAGATACTCCACCCCCAAGGAGGAAGAACATAAGTAACCCCCCACCTTAAGTGTGGGCTGCACAGAGTGACTTCCTTTCAAAGAGTACAGTAGGAAAATAGGGGGAAGAGTAACTTTTCAGTAGAGAAACCAGACAAACACTACTTCAACTACATGGTCAAGGTCAACATCAACAGTCATAAGTCATGTGATTTGATGTGATGAAAATAGCAGTTTACCTCTGCAATGTTCCTCCAGAAACCCATAACCCCAAGTCCAATTATGAGGAAAACAGCAGACAAATCCTAATTGAGTGACATCTTGCAATATACCTGACCAATACCCTCACCAAACTGTTAAGGACATCAAAAATAAGGTCTAAGAAACTGTCACAGCAAAAAGGAGCCTAAGAACATATAACAATTAAATGCAATGTATTCTGATGGGATCCTAGAGCAGAAAAAGGACATTAGGTAAAAACTAAGGAAATAGGAATAAACTACAGACTTTAATTATAGTAAAATGTCAATATGGGTTCATTAATTATATCAAGGTACCAAACGAATGCAAGATGTTAATAATAGGGGAAATGGTATGCAAGATGAGAGTGATATGAGAACTCTCATACTATTTTTGCAATGTTTCTGTAAATCCAAAACTGTCCTTAAAAAAAAAAATATCTATTAATGTCTTTAAAAGCCACTGTTGGCCAGGCATGGTAGTTCATCCCTGTAATGCCAGCACATCGAGAGGCCAGGGCAGGAGGATCTCTTGAGGCCAGAAGTTGGAGACCAGCCTGGGCAACACAAGGCCCCATCTCTACAAAAGTGTAAAAATTAACCAGGCGTGGTGGCATGCACCCGAGGTCCTGGCTACTCAGGAGGCTGAGGCAGGAGGATCACCTGAGCCCTGGAGTTGAAGTGAGCTATGATTGTGCCATGCCCTTCAGCCTGGGCAATAGAGCAAGACCCTGTCTCCTATGTAGACCCTTTCTATAGATATATAAAGCCTGGAAGAACAGTGGCTATATATACGGCCATCGTCAGTTGGCTATATATATAGCCACTGTCACTGTTATTCCTCTGTCAGTTGCAGAGGAAGTGAATCCTAATTAATATGCCTCTCACTCCCAAAATTACTATAGACAAAACATTCAAAGTCTTATGTACAACTATGGAGGGTCCATGCTGGACTGAATTACATCCTCCTAAAATTATTATGTCCTCCCAGAATTCCCAGTATCTCTGAATGTGACTGTATTTAGAGATAGGTTATTTAAAGAGGCAATTAAGTTAAAAATGGGGTTATTAGGGTGGGCTCTGATCCAATATGATTGGTATCCTTATAAGAAGAGGAAATTAGGGCACAGATATTGGCACAAAGGAAAGACCATGTGAAGACACAGGGAGAAGATGGCCAGAGGAGAGGGGCTTCAGAAAAAAAACAATCCTGCTGACATCTTCATCTCAGACTTCTAGCCTCCAGAAGTGTGAGAAATAAACATCTGTTGTTTAAAGCCACCTAGTCAATGGTATTTTGTTATGGCAGCCTTAGCAAACTAATACAGCCACCAAGTTCATCCACGTATTATCCGACCATTTTATAATACAGGAAAGTGGAGCTCAAAGAGGTGTTTGGGTTTTGTTGTTGTTAACCCCAACACCATGGGAACTATAGGGCACGGCCCCGAGACACTCACCCACAACTTTAAGTTGAACCGTTCCCTGTGCCTTCAGAGGGGTGACAACCACCTCACATCGGTACTCTCCTGCTTCCTCCAGCTGGACTCCAGGCAGCTTCAGTGAGGCGTCCCCACTCTTCAGCCTCCATAGAGACACATTGGCTCCAGGTCGGAATGCCTTTTGGTGATCTCCAAAAAATTCAAAGACCTTGACTTCTTTGTCTAACGTCAGACTCTTCCGAAACCAGGTGATACCCATAGAAGTGATGTTGAGGGGTTGGGAATAAATGACTTTGCAGGATATGGTAACACTGTCATTCAGGCGTGTGGCCTGAATCCCCCTTGCCATCATCTCCACTTTCAGATCACCTGTGGCAATAAGAGAACACAATGTTCAGTTTTTCAATTTATGAACAAGTTTTTGGGATGTGCTATGGACTGAATGCTGGAGTCCTCCAAAATTCATATTGAGGCCTGACTCCCAGTGTGATGGTATCTGGAGGCAGGGCCTTTGGGAAGTGATTAGGTCATAAGGGGAGAGTCCTCATGAATGGGATTAGTGCCCTTACAAGAAAAGACATGAGGCAGGGCACGGTGGCTCACGCCTGTAATCCCAGCACTTTGGGAGGCTGAGGCAGGTGGATCGTGAGGTCAGGAGATTGAGACCATCCTGGCTAACATGGTGAAGTCCCATCTCTACTAAAAATACAAAAAATTACCCAAGTGTGGTGGCAGGTGCCTGTAATCCCAGCTACTCAGGAGGCTGAGGCAGGAGAATTGCTTGAACCCAGGAGGCAGAGGTTGCAGTGAGCCAAGATCGTGCCACTGCACTCCAACCTGGGTGACAGAGTGAGATTCTGTCTCAAAAAAAAAAAAAAAAAAAAAAAAGAAAGAAAGAAAGAAAGAAAAAGACAAGACATGAGGCTGGGCCTGGTGGTTCACACCTATAATCCCAGCACTATGAGAGTCTGAGGCCAGAGGATTGCTTGAGCCCAGGAGTTCTGGACCAGACTAGGCAATATAATGGGACCTTGTCTCTACAAAAAAATAAAAATAAATTAGCCCAGCATGGTGGTTAGCACCTGTAGTCCCAGCTACTTGGGAGGCTGAGGTAGGAGGATCCCTTGTGCCCAGAAGTTCAAGGCTGCAGTCAGTTGTGATAATGCCACTGCACTCTAGCCTGGATGACAGAGTGAGACACTGTCTCAAAAATAAATAAATAAATAGATAGATAAATAAATGAAGACAAGACAGAGAGATATGTCTCTCTCCCCCATGTAAAGATACAGCAAGAAGGCATCCTTCTATAAACCAGAAATGAGGCTCTCACCAGAAACCAGATCATCCACACCTTCATCTTGGACTTCCCAGCCTCCAAAACGAGAAAAAAATTTCTGTTTAAGCCACACAGTATATATCTGTTATGGTAGCCTGGCAAGACTAAGACAGGACATTTTTCCATTTCATTTATTTAGATCTCAAATTTCTTTCAGCAATATTTTACAGTTTCCAGAGTATATACTTTCTGTTTCTTTTGTTAAATTTGCTCATAAGTATTTTACTCTTTTTGATGCTATTGTAAAGAGAATTTTCTCTTTTTTTGATGTTTTCCTATTTATTTATTTAGAGATAGGGTCTTGCTGTGTCACCCAGGCTGGAGTGCAGTGGTGCTATCACTGCTCATTGCAGCCTCCACCTCCTAGGCTCAAGTGAACCTCCTGCCTCAGCCTCCCAAGTAGTTGGGACTACAGGCACATGCCACCATGCTCAGCTAATTTTTTGATTTTTTGTAGAGATGGAGACTTACTAAGTTGCCCAGGCTGGTCTCCAACTCCTGGGCTCAAGCAATCCTCCCACTGCCTCCTCAGGTGTTGGGATTACAGGTATGAGCCACTGCGACTGGCTAGATGTTTTCTATTTTAGAACAGTAGGTTGCCAGCAAGTTTACGCTTACACCAATCCAACAAAAAGTGCAAGGACAGTTCAAAATATTACATTTGCTGTTTCAAAGAAGAGTGCAACTCCAAAGAAGTCAGACTCATTACTAACAATGCAGAGCTAGACATCAATATTTAGATAAATGTCAGAAACCGAATTCCCCTTGTTGCCATCAAACATGTCCTTTCATTAGTCACACCCAACATATCTAAATAAAGTTTTCAAAATTAATGTTAACAAAAAATGTATCCAAAAACCTGCCAACTTACTCAAAGGTTTGTGCAAGTCTATTTTTAAAAATAATACATTAGGCAAACATGGTGACAAGCTTTATGTTCTATGTATCAAGGCAAAAACAGACTTGACCTACAAAATGAAGATAGGGTCAACTGTAACCAAAAAACAGTATGCTTCCCCCTGGTGGCCAACCAAAGAATGGAGGAGCCAAGGATACGAGAGAAATAGCCAGGCCACCTAGTTCTATTGTCACTCTTACAAATGAAAAGAGACTACCCAAAAAAAAAAAAAAAAAAAAAAGAATTGGGGGGTCGGAGGGGGAGGGGAAAATACCAAAACACTAACATGTGCTTAAAAGGAATACAAACCTGAGTGCCAGACTACATAAATTTAAAAGATTTAAATCAACAAATCAAAATTTAGAAGCAAATTTGGGAAACGTCGTCTATTTTCAGAGCGCCCAAGCGCTCACCCCGGACCTCCATGTATTTTCATTTAAAGGTACAGAGTTTAGTACCTTAATAACAGCTTAAGAGCATTCCCCTTTTTCAAGGACTAGATCCTTGGAATTTTCTGCAGTCTTGTTTCCAAGGAAAAGCATCTATGCATTTATCTTCTCAAATCAACTAGTGGTATAACCTGCATAGAGAATCTCCCGTTCTAGAGCCCTCCAACCAGGGAGGATTGTTAACTACAGCTTTACAAATTGCTCTTTTGAACTTCATTTCTGAAATAAAACCTAACGTTCTTTAAAACATTTTCTATATCAACAACCTTTAAAGACAGTCTCATACAAAGACGGGCTAGAATATCTTGCATTAAAATCTGACGAATTCCTTTGTCTGATTGGATTTTTTTTTCTTGTACCACTTTAAATTTGCTTCCACACAGAATAACAGCCCGGGAAATAGATGTTCCATTCTAAGGTGTAGGGATTTCTTGTGGGCGGAAATGATTTGTTAGGCGAAAGCTTCCGATGGTTTTCAATTTCACAGTGTCTTCCGGTGCCGAAGTCCAGCACCAACGCCTGGTTCTGGGGTCCGACCGTCATGCAGCGGTCGCCTCACTCCTTGTGGCTGGACGAGCCCGAATTAGCTTCCTCCCAGGAGCTGCTGCTGCTGCCACTAAAGCGCCGCCGCACAGCCAAAGGGCGTTCCTTCCTCTCCGCTTCCCAGAGACCGCGCGGCCCTTCTCCACCACCGCCAGCATCCGTGGGGACGAGGACCGGACGAAAGTGGCTGGCACCCGAGGCTCCTGAGGAGGGGGCGCCGGGCCCGGGACCGGGTGGGCGCGGCGGGAGCCCCCAGGCGCCACTTCGAGCTCGAGGAGACCCAGACTGAGGGCGTGGAAGCGCTTCCAGCCACCAGCGCCGAGTCCAGCGCAAATTTGGCTTTCGTCGCCGCCCACACTTCACTCGGAACTGTCTTATTTTCACATTGCTCATTGCAAATGTATAGAAATGCTATTCCCTCGTTTTTATTTTCATTTCCCTCTCCCATTGGGCAGTCATTCTAAGGTGTTTAACATACATTTTTGTTCTCTTTAAGGCTGTATCTTCTGTTTCTCAAACTGTGGAAAGGGTATTACATTGTATGTCCACTGCTTGGCTCTTTGCCTTCAACATCCGTTCACGCTGCTCGGCAAGCAGCAAGGGCGTGGTGTGAAGCTGCCGCCCAGCGCTCCACGGTGAGGTCCACACGCGGCTCGCCTCCACCTGCAGTGACTTGGGGCGCCCAGAGCGCGCCTCCGGGATTCCTACATTCCCTCTCCAGCACCTGGTACCCAGGAGCGTATTGTGGCCAGCCTAGTAAGGGTCAAGCAGCATCTTGTTGTTTAATTGCCATTCTTCTAGTTAGAAATGAGTTTAAATATCTCTACATACGCGTTTCAGCCTTGTAGTCTCCTGTTTAAGTTAACGCAGAACATTCCCATACGAGTTCCCAAAAAAGTAAGAGAACTTTTGAAGGTCACCTCAAGATCAAAACACTCCCCTCCCTCTCTCAATAAAGACCTTACTTAGCAAAGCCAGGAGGACCCACTGATACGCGGGTGAATCATTTTCCTATTTTCCCCATTCCCTGATTTTCTTCTCTGCTCCGACCCCTTGGATGATGCAAGAGAGGAGCAGATTACCGAGGCACTGAGTGCGCGACATCCAAGGAAGCACCGTTTCCGCTCGCACAGGTGCCGACCCTGCACAGGGCAGGCCTTCAATATCAACCTGTTGCATCGGGGACTCCGCATCTCACAAAGGAGGGGCGCTTGAAAATAGAGCCTCCAGGCCCGGCGCGGTGGCTCCCGCCTGTAATCCCAGCACTTTTTAAGGCCGACGTGGGTGGATCACGAGGTCAAGGAGATCGAGACCATCTTGGCTAACACGGTGAAACCCCGTCTCTACTAAAACTACAAAAAATTAGCCGGTCGTGGTAGCGGGCGCCCGTAGTCCCAGCTACTCGGGAGGCTGAGGCAGGAGAATGGCGTGAACCCAGGAGGCGGAGCTTGGAGTCAGCCGAGGTCGCGCCACCTTACTCCAGCCTGGGCGAGAGCGACACTCCGTCTCAAAAAAAAAAAAAAGAAAAGAAAAGAAAAAGAAAAGAAAATAGAGCCCCCAGCCCCCAGGACGTCGCGGTCCCCTGGAGGGGCGCTAGGGAACCAACCGCAAGGACCCTCTGGCGCCAGGCGCCTCCGCCCCAGCCCACCCCAGCCGCCGCCGCCCCAGCCCACCCCAGCCGCCGCCGCCCCAGCCCACCCCAGCCGCCGCCGCCCCAGCCCACCCCAGCCGCCCCCTACCTGCGGTCATCAGTGCGCACCACAGAAGCAGGGGCGCCGCGCACGCGGAGGAGGCAGCCCTCCACGCCATCGCCACGGCAGCAGCTCTGGAATTTTTTTCGCCGAGTGGGACCAGGCGGCCCGGTAAAAACCAAGGGCCGGGGGAGCCCTCTGTTGCGTGAAGAGTTGACGGAGACACAGCCGGGATTTCCAGCCGGCGCTTTTGCACATCCCACTTCTTCGGGTCCCTTCGGCAACTGCGAAGTCTCCGGGATTTCCAGGGTTCGCACTGCAGGAAGCCAGGCGCGTGACCAGCCCCGCCCGCGCCTCACTTTCGCGCCAGGGCGCACACCGGCGGGAGAAGCCTCCCTCGTCCCCGCCCACGGCACGAGGTTGCGCGGTTACAGCCCCGGTGCCTCTCGCGAGCGGCTCTGCAGTCCAGGACTCTGGGCATCCTCTGAGTTCGCTTAGTAAATTGAGGCCGGGATCCAAGTGGCCCGGGGCGCTGCTCTAAGGAGGATGCTGACCGCAGTCAGTGATTGCGAGAGCAGGTGCACGCGTCCAGAGAGATATCTTACCGTTGGCACGATAAACTTACATTACTTTAAAAACCAAAAGCAACAAAACCTTAGCATTGAGTCGAAAGCCAAATTAAATCCCCAGGACGATTCAGTTAAACGCCTGAAGGTGGCCCTTAATTTCCCATTTCTACTAACCAAGAAGTGGTTTGCGACCTCCTGAAGCAAACCCAAATATTTTCATTGGCTGTTTAAGTTTTACCACCTCTAGACCAGTTTTTAAATCAATTTAACCGCAAAGTTCAGAACCCAAGTGGCACTGTAAAGTGTGTGCATTTGTAACGCACAACCTGCATTCTTTCCCCAGCAACCTGCATTCCATTTGTCTCATTGACCCTACTGCATTTTTCCTTCGCATCATTAAAAAGGATGTAATGTACAGAAAAGCACAGACAGACCTAAACTCCAATGCCAGTCATGCCATCTGCTGATTATAGGACAGTGGGTAGTGACCTCATATCCCCAGCCTGTTTACACATCTCTAAAACTGAGAAAAAGCAGGGTTAGAGATACTGTCACTAAGCAAATAGTCACATCCTCACTTATCTGCAGAACAGAGTACATGCATAAAGAGCCCAGAAGTGAGAGATGCGCAGAGGGCCCACAGTGGCAGCAACTAGCTGAGGGGCCTTCAGATTGCAGCTTTCCGGACCACCGTTTTAACAGGTAGAGATGTGCAAGGTTAAGTCTGGCTATTGCATTTTAAAAACCTAAATTATACCTCTTCTCAACCTCTGCTTCCTCCAAGGAGCCTTACCTGAGGAGACATCCTTGTCTGGTATTAGTGACATCATTAAATAACATTTCCAATGGAGGTATATGATGACTCCTTATACATGCCCAGAATAGTGATTCACAAAGTTGTGACACATACACGTGACTCTGTAGAAATTATCAAATTACACTTTTGGTAATTTTACTGTTTTAGTAATTTTTTGGTACCCTTTTTACTCTAAAGGGTAAAACTGGCAGGTTTCTCCATTTATATTTCGTTAGAATGAAAAGTCATTACCTGTGTTTTCATTTTTACTAATATCACATCTATCTGAACACATCTTTTTGTGTGTGTGTGTGTGTGTGTGTGTGTGTGTGTGACAGAGTCTCGTTCTATTGCCCAGGCTGGAGTGCAGTGGTGCGATCTTAGCTCACTGCAACCTCTGCCTCCCCGGTTCAAGAGATTCTTGTGCGTCAGCCTCCCAAGTAGCATGGATTACAGGTGCCTGCCACCACGCCCGGCTAATTTTTGTATTTTTAGTAGAGACAGGGTTTCACCATGTTGACCAGGCTAGTCTTAAACTCCTGACCTCAAGTGATCCACCCACCTCGGCCTCCCAAAGTGCTGGGATCACAGACATGAGCCACCACGCCCAGCCTGAACATGTCTTTTAATACTTTTGCCAACTTTTCATTCAACCCTAAAGCACACAGCAGATGCCTCACGATGCTTCTCAAACAAAACAAGCATATATCCTCAGGAATTATTTATGGAAACCTCTGACTTTCTATGTTCTTTATTGATGCATAGTATTCACAGTATTCAAATGCTGGTTGACACTGAGGTCATTTATATGACACATTACATCCAACTTGCTGTTGGAATATCACATACAATTTTGGAACCATATTGTAACACACATTGAAAATATCCAACAAGCAATCAGAATGGTAAATAAGGGACATTCACCCAAAGACATGTATCCAGGGACAGTATGGCAGAGACTGCTATTTGTCAACCAATATCTATTTTCCCCTTTTTCCTTGAAAAAGGCCTCCAATGTTTTCCTGGGCACAGGGATCTCCAAAATAAAAGACTGCATTTCCTAACCACTCTGGAGCTAAATGTGGCCATATGACCAAGTTCTGGCCAAAGTAATATAAATGGAAATGTTCTATGTGACTTCTGGGAAATGTCCTTAATGGGAAGGAAAATGATCTTCTTTTCCCCTTCCTTTTTATGACAGCAGGATAGCAGATGTAATGCCTACAGCTTGAGCAGACATCTTGCACCACAATGTGGAAACCATGCACTAGGACAAGGGGACAGCAAAAGAGAAGGGTTCTGGGTCCCTGATGACTCGTGAAACCTCTACCAGCTTTAGAATGACACTTCTGGACCTGTGGAACATAAGAAGCAAAGTCAGTATGCTACTCTTATTTAAAATGTTCTCATTTTCAGCGGAACCTAATCCTAATCACTACAAATGAGTAAAGGAGCTGAGCCCGTTTTGCTTGGAGTAGCCTGGGGGTTTAAGACATGGTACCAGTCTTGTAAGTCTCTGAAAAGCAAACACCTACGTATGTGAGTACACATTAGGTGATGTTCTTGAAGGCAAAAGCAAGTTGGAGAGAGATTTTGGCTCAGTATAAGAAAAGCTTTCTGCTGGGTGTGGTGGCTCATGCCTGTACAGCCTGGGTGACAGAGACCCTGTCTCAAAACAACAACAACAAAACAAAACAAACAAACAAACAAAAAAAAAACAAAACACACCTCATTCTAGACCAGTGTTGTTC